CCCGGGGGGGGGGGGGGGAAATGGTGGTCAACTGTTAATGTTGGACTAGACAACTGACCGACAAGCCATCCCTTGGTGGAGTTCACTCTGGCTACCCTCTAACATCTAAGAACACTCATCGCTCCCGCTGAGATGTCCTATTCCATTGTGAGTTTTCTGACCTCATGTTATTGGCTGGTAGGGGGAAAAGCACAGCACGATGATGCTGCATTTTGTAGCAGGTGTTCATGCACATTACAGGGGCATCCTGCCTTGGACCAGTAATAATAAAGAAGGGAGAAGAAGGGAGAAGTCCTGTTTGGCAGTGTTCATGTGACGTGTGTTAATGTGCAATTCTGACCTGTCCACGGGGCTCTAGGGAGACAAATATCAGCCCCTCGGTGACCTAGCGGTGTGCAGATGATGCCAACCTGGCTAAATCCATTCTTCATTTGCTGTGCAAATCACCCTAAATAGTGGAGAAGGCCATGCCAACAGCAGACTCTATACTCTGTCAGCTTGGTGGCAGGAGATCGACATGGACTGGGTTTTCCCCCCATGGTTGCTCTGAACAGAGATACTGATACGAGTTGCGTTAGAAAGCAGGCTGCAGAGACAAGAAGCAGTTCATGAATTTTAACAAATAGCCTCTCGGGGACTCAGGTGGCCCAGAAAACATCTGGAGAGTTGAAAACTCGCGTCTGACCATTCACACGCTACTTCTGAATACTCTTCAGGTTGCTCCCCACCAGGAAAAACAGTAAGTTTGCTAGTACTAGTTTAACGAGGAGTGGAATTACCTTTAGGCTGAACTTTACACTGACTCAGGCATGCACAGCTTCTCACAATTTCAACGTTACATAAGAACATAAGAAGAGCCCTGCTGGATCAGACCAGTGGTCCATCTAGTCCAGCATCCTGTCTCACACATTAGCTCATCCTGTCTTACACATTAGCTTATGCAGTGTGGTGTGCCAGGCGGTTGACATTTTCTGTTCTCACAGTACAAGAATGACCACAAGAACAGAGGGTTAGGAGAGAATTTTGTGGGTCACCAACCATTATGAGTAGGCTGTGTTCAACAAATTGAGACTTGAGTACTGTTGTACTGTTACCTTGAGGAGAAAACCTTTGTATTCTTGAACTAGTAGAGTGGACATCAAGACATAAGAAGAGCCCTGCTGGATCAAACCCAGTGGTCCATCTAGTCCGGCATCCTCTCCCACACAGTGGCCAACCAATTCCTCTGGAGGGCCAACAACAGGGCATGGAGGCCAAAGCCGTCCCCTGATTTTGCCTCCTGGTTCTGGGATTCAGAGGTTTACTGCCTCTGAATGTGGAGGTTCTCTTTATTCTGCGAGCCAAAGGGCTAAGCTAACAATGTATATTATAAAAGTACAAATATCCCCCCCCCCTTTTCCCCCCAGGTTCTCTTTATTCACCATGGCTAGTTGAGTAATTGGAAAAGTTCTCACAGGGATTATTCTGTGGCCAAAACCACCAAGTGAATAAGAGAATTCGGCTATCCAAAGTTTGGAGACTCCAGAAGTAACTCAAGAATCTTGTTCTATCCATTTTTTAAAAAAAAGCTTCTAAGCATTGTAGTTTTTGAAAGCACAAATGGATAGTTTTGGATCCCATGACTTCCCACTTCCCTTTTAAACACTACAAAGGACACAGCAAGAAACTCCTTTTTGTTCTAGCAGGTGGAGGCAGGGCTATTTTTGGGCAGGAACGCACAGGAACAGAGTTCAGGCTGGCTCCTGAGTTGGCCACGCCCAGCAGGAACTCATTAGCATAATAGGCCACACCCAACAACAGGAACTCATTAGAATTGGCTACATTAGGGGTGTGTGGCCTAACATGCAAAGGAGTTCCTGGGTTTTGACAACAAACAAGGTAAACAGAATAAGAAGCAAAAGGTGGGTGTGTCTGGATGAGCACACTTCTCGTAACACAGGGGTGTGGCCTCATATGCTAATGAGCTGTACTGTCAGGGGTGTGGCCTAATATGCTAATATGTTCCTTATGTTGGGTGTGGCCAATTATGCTAATGAGTTCCTGCTGGGCTTTTTCTACAAAAAACGCCCTGGGTGGAGGGATCTCCCCTGCTCCATGAGAACAAGGTGAAGTAGTTTATTATCTGGGGAGACAAAATGCTCACATTTCTCTTCATTCAATAATCTGCCGAGAATAACAGCTACTAAATGTCTCATTTGGCTTGTCTATGTCCAGTCAGCTCTCTGAGGAAGAACTTATTGTGGAACTTCTCCTTACATCTCCCATGCAGGAAATTGTTCCCACTGTCTCTTTCCAGCTTCTCCCACTAAAGTGGGATAGAACAGGTAAACAACAGATTTTTTTTAATAAAAAACCCAACCCCGTAAGTATGCCATTACAAACAGAAGAAAGCGCTAAAAAGAATGGTATGCTCTTCACCTTTGCCTCCCACCCCCTAACTAGCCCAAATACAATTTTACAATGGTTCCGAAAAATGCTCCTGAACAGTATTTTGACAGCTCTCCAAAGGACAGGAGTTCCGTAACCGGGGCTGTGGGACGGTCACTAAGTACTCTACTCCACATGCCCAGGTTTTAAATGACCACATCAATGGGTGTCACCACTCAAAGATGCTGGGACACAGAGAAAGAAACAGTGATTATGTGTCATGCCCGAGCCACTTAAGGCTATTGTTGACAAAAACACAACATCACGAACTCTGCCCAGAGGACGACAGGAAGGCACTGTGCCCGCAGCCTTCCTATTCCACACTGCTGCATACTTGGCTTCAATACATGGAAGGAGACCAAGAAACCCTCTTACCTCTGATTACAAAGCTGACATGCAAAGCAGTCCAGGTGGTAAACATTTTCCTTGGCTCTCATCACCATCTCAAAAGCAGGGATGAGTTTGCTGCAGGCAGCACAGTTTCCCGTAACGCCAAATAACCTGAAGAAATATAAATGGGGGTAGGGGGTGGGGAGAAGTCCAGGAGAAGGTAAGGTTAACAACGACAACAAACTAGAACTTAACAATTCTACGCCTTCCATTTGAGCCTGCCTTCACTTTCCAAACTTGTAATGAAATGCTTTTTTACGAATTCCCCAATGAGGCAGAAAGCGTAGGCTTACCGTCTGCCCACCTGGTACAGGAAAGTTCCTGTCCCCACGCTCCACCACCCATGCTTGAGCAGCAGAGCACTGAGAGAGAGAGAGAGAAAATGTGTGCAGGATGATCTCGGTGATCACCCGGTAGTGATGTCACATTGTCTGTAATGCTGTAAGAATTCCTAGAGTGTCACACTGGGGATGGGGAGAGCAAGAGAGACACACTGTGATATCATTTCCTGGTGATTTCCCAGAAGTGACATCACAGCATCCATGATACTCCTCCCTAGTGCCCCCCCCTCCAGCTACTGGGATTGTCGGGTGCAGGACTGGTAACCCTAAGGAAGAGTTGAGACCAGTGTTCCCTTTAAGCTGAGTTAGTGTGAGCTAGCTCACAGTTTTTTAGCCTCCGGTGCACACATTTTTGTCTTAGCTCAGGAAGGAGGGCTCCAGAGCAAACTGACTGACGCAGGAGCCAATTCACTCGCTCACAACTGCAATGCCAGGAGCTTTACAAAGGAGAAATTTGCTCACAAGACCCCACAGCTTAGAGGGAGCATTGGTTGAGACCCATTTCAACTATACTGTTGGATAAACATTGTCTCATTAGAAAGGTTTCTCTTAAGTTGCATAATTCTGCTCTTTGAAATAATTTGCTGTTTGCTTCCCCCCCCCCTTCCTTATCCCATAAATACACACGATTCGCTTGCTGTGTGTAAAAATCTTTAGCCTTGATGGGGCTGGGAGTTTAGAGGAACCCTTGCAATCTTGCAACACTACAAAAATATATAAGAGCAGCTACAGGAGCAAAATATTATGCAAGTGCGTGGATTTGAGGGCTAGTCTCTTTGAAAGTGCAACGAGAAAATGGCTTCGTAGATCTCACGGCAAATACAAGAGCCATAAAACCTTGGCCTTGATGCTATTTATTTATAACACACATGCTTTAGCACAAGAGAAAATGATACTGCTAGGGGTGGTGGTGGTGGGGGGGAGAAGCTACTATTCTAGTCATTTTTGACACCTAGTGCTAAAAGCTTTACCGTTATTAAAGAACATTTTATGAAGAAGTCATTTAAAGCGTCAGAAAGCATTAGTGGTTCATGCACCTTACAACCCTACGCCATGCTTATAGCTATGATTATGTTATTCAAGTAGCCCATTAAAGTAAATGAGGCAGTCAACTATATATAGTCACATTAGGAATGCAGGTATATTATACTGCAGGAACCATTTTAAACCTCTTCTAAAACGTTTTAACTTTTTAACTTCAAAGTTTTTCTTTTTAAAAAACACACACACAAAACACACCATATACTGTTTGTTCAAGACTGGGGTTATTTTCAAGCTGGTACGCTGCAAACAGCAAATTCACAATAACATCCTTGCATAGACCTAGATAGGATTTTTATTTTAAGCATGGAAGGATTATAACTCCCCCCCCGCCACCCATCTTTGAAACCAGCTTTAATGTAAAGCTACTTAATATATGCAAATAAGAGGGGCTGTTTAAAAACAGCATCGCTCTTCTCTGTGCATAGCAGCTAATGCCATTTTTAAAAGTATGATACAAAATAGATGAAAATGCCACATCTGCCGCTTTCCTTTTGGCTCTTCAACATCAGGCTGACAGCAGAAAAATATAATGGCTCTCGAGGGAAACACCAAATTAAAAGCAGTTCTAAGCTAATGAATTCAAAGGTGTGCTACTGTAGAAAATTCGGTTTGGCGACACACATAAATGGGAAAAAAAAACACGAACACACAATCACTTTCCATTTTGGAGAACGGGACTGGCTGTGCCTTCTGAGCATCCGGATACCTTTTGCCCCTCTTGCTCCCCCTCTACTCAATATGCACGTTTTGCAGAATACATGCAATGTGTTTATTTTTCCAAGTTCTGAATCATTCTCCCCCAATTGTCTGATGTGTAGGCTTATCTAGATTTTGAAATATATATATATATTCTAAAATAAAAACAACAGCAAAACCCCCCTCCCAACAAGGTTTAATCATCAGCATTCTTGTGTTCATCAGCTCCTGTTAGATTTATTATTCAAGCTCATGTCAACTTTGTTTTGCTAATTGTGAAGCCTGATGATTAAAATTATATGTACACACACGTGCACGCACACGCAGAGACAGGGTTGCCTCTCTAGCAGTTTTTCTTTCTCTAAGTATTCCAGTTCCAGAGGTTCTCAAAAAGACTGTGAAGAAGGAGAAGAAGACGGCGAGGAGGATGAAGAGGAGTTGGACTTATATCCTGCCCTTCATCTTACAATCTCCTTCCCTTCCCCTCCCCACAACAGATACCCTGGTGAGGTAGGTGGGGCTGAGAGAGCTCGGAGAAAACTGCTCTTGAGACAACAGCTCTGAGAGAACTGTGGCTGACTCAAGCTCACCCAACTGGCTGCATGAGGAGTGGGGAATCAAACCGGGTTCTCCAGATTAGAGTCCGCTGCTCTTAACCACTTTACCAAACTGGCTCCACTCCACCAAAGTGTTCCCCAAATGGTTTTCAGTCTCCTGAAGAAGCTGCCCAGAGAATGTACAGCTTGCGCCCACCGTTGCTGCTCCGATCCAACATGGGTGTTACAGTGTTGGAAGCAAGAAGGGCAGACGTGGCTCAGTGGAAGAGCCTCTGATTGGTGTGCAGAAGGTCCCTGGTTCGATCCCCAGCATCTCCAGTTGGAAGGATCATCAGTAGGTGATGTGAAAGACCTCTACCAGAGACTCTCGCGAGCCGCTGCCAGTCTGGGTAGACAATACAGACTTTGATGGACCAATGGTCTGAGTCAGCATAAGACAGCTTCACCTGTATGTGCCAGATGGGCTTTTTTTGTTTGCTCCCCATCGCTTGAAGGAGTCAGCTCAGCACAGAAAAAAGTCAACTCATCCAGCAAGTGAAGTTGGGACAACAGTATACACGCAAGCTCTGAGCATCTGTGTTTTCATCCAAGTCCTTCTACCTATCATGCCAGCTAGGCTGGGAGAGGGAGGGAAATGTTAGACACGAGCAGGGGTCATTTCCTGCAGGAGCGCACAGGAGAAGAGCTCCGGCAGTAAAGAGCCCAGGGGGCAGGCACATGCAACAAGCCCCACCCCCTGCTCCCAGCAGCCCTCAGTCAGAGCAAGAAGCAGCCAGGTAAGTTGCAGAGCCAAAACAGTCCAAAACAGTGACCAGTGGTACCTTTAAGACCAAGTTTTATTCAGGTACAAGCTCTCCTTCCTCTGTGAGGGCAGATCTGCACTTTCCCCACCCCCATAGCTAGCAATCCAAAACAGTCCAGTGGAGCCTGAGCGGTGGGTGTTGCCTTCTGACACATTTCCGGTGATGTCAGGGGGTGTGGCATATGTAAATAAGTTATGCTAATGAGTTATGATAATGAGCTCCTGCACCTCTTTTTCTACTAAATGACCCCTGGACACGAGAGATGTGCAAGACTGGCAAAAACCCCACAACCCACCGTTGTTGTTTTTTTTAAAAGGTGGCTTCAACATTTCTGGACATTTTACATCTCCAGTAGGCATCAACTTAGCAGGAGGAAGCGAGAAAGGAGGAGAATGCCTCTTCTAAAATAGCTCTTAATTAATCGGGAGAACTTTCAAAATAATTGTTTGGAAGCTCTTTAAATTAATCAGACTGATTAAACTGAACCAACGTGGCAGCACTGGTCTACCGGCAAAAGAGATATGTGACAAACGTTGAAAACACAAGGCACGAGCTGTTGGCTCACTATCCCGGGAATAACCATGCTAGGAAAAAGGAAATACTGACTAAGGCCAATGAGGCTATGGATGTTGGTGCGTATGTACGCGTATATCGAGTTCCAGTCAGAGATGGTAACTGGCAATTTTCCAAGAGCAGGACTGCTTCTAAGAGACTGTAATAGTCACTATTACAGTAGCATTATGGCCAATAAGGTTGATCTATGTGAATCGCCACCCAAAATTCAAATGAAACGGAACTCCACTCACAAGCAAGGAGGTGAGCTAGACCAGTGGGGGGAAAAAGGGAGATGGAACATCGCTTGTTTTTAAGGACGGCAGGAGAGGCAGATGCTCAGGAAAGTGGAACATTATGCAGACGCACACAGAATCAAAAACACCGCAACAAGCAAGAGGTACACAGGCATCCACGTTACACTGAGTGAAATGAAGTGGAGATTTATAGTTCATTTGCCTGCAGTGGTGGATGCTACCAAGTTCCTTGATCATTCGTGTCCGATTCACAATTTTCGAGCGTCTTTGGTGGGACAAAACGGTGGTCCTTTATACCTGACCATATTAACATTTGATGGAATTACTGCCATTAAAATAGGTGGGCTACAAATGGTTAGCCTAGCTGTACACACAGTCGGGGGGGGGGGACTATCCACAAGTTAAAATAAATAGTCGTTTGAGTGTATTGCCATCGGCACAGTTGGACGCACTTGTCAGCACACCGCAGTTGGCTGGTACCAGTACTGATGCATTCTCAGACCTTACTACACTTTTGGGGCTGATGTAGTTTTCTCAGGCTTCGGGGTCAATTTGGGAGACTGCAACAACTGCAGTTCCTATAAACCTTGGCAGAAAGCTGTCCCGGGGAAGAGAAATTCACAGGAAAGATAGGGCCCAACCAGGACCTATCCTCTGTTTAAAGAGTCATCTCCCCAGCAAGTTACTTTCACCCTTCCTAACAATAAGCTTTGAGGTACAGAGGGAAGTGGCAAGGTGAGAAGCATCCAAGTGTCACGAATCCTGTGAGCATCTTGAATGCTTGCAGCTGTCCACTGAGCATTCTTATCCACAAAATTATGCATGGTTTTGGGTATGGTGTGGGGGCATTCATCCATCAGT